CAACGTAACAGAGACTGGCAGCAGTATTTTTGGTTGTAGACAACTGTGAATAAATGGTCAGTCAGAATGGATTTAGAGGCAATGAAGCCTCAACCGTGGGTTACGATGTCTACGATGCCTTTTCTAAAGGTCCTGGTCCTCTTTGTCCCGGGAACACTCGTCGAACGTGGCGTTCCTTACCTCTGAAGCAGTAGACGTCGTGTCGCGTGTGAAGCTCGGGGAAGCCCGTCTGGTTGCCATAGCGGTAGACGGTCCTGACCCCGGGCTCCCCGCCCCCGCAACGCTCCCTTGGGGTCACGATGGGGTAGCGGACGCTCCCGTCGGCCAGCCAGCCGGGACTGCACAGGTTCAGCCCGTCACTCCAGGCCGCGTACAGCTGGGCCGTGGTGACCAGCTCGGCCCCGTGGCTCAGGCAGTAAGCCCTGGCTTCCCAGAAGGTAAAGCGCTGGGGGGCGGAGCCATGGAACACCTCGCCTTCACACAGGCAGACGGGTGTCATTGTTCAAGAAATACCTTTTTTTGCAAAAAGCATTTTTGGATGGTCCTAGGCTCAGGTGACCTACTGACCTAACTAACTACTAACCTCAATGTTACCGTTGAATTTGACTTACCGTGGATATTCTCCACGTAACAGTAGACGTCATACATCTCGTCGGGATCTAACAGTCCGTAGTTCCTCACACCCGGAAATTCCTCCATGTCGCCAAAGCATTGCTCCCTCGGCCTCTGGATGGGATATCTGTGGAAGAAAACATCACGCCTCTTCAAGCCATCGACTGGATATGTCAATGCTAACCGTGATGACTGTTGGTTTGAAGCTTTGAGTTTGTCTTTTGGCAGCCTGGTTTTGGCTGTCCCCGTTCAGTTTTACGTCCATTGCAATCTTGGTTTTCGCCAGAAGAAGAAGACATTTACACGCAGCCTGAATCGACTTTCATGAAGTGAAAACAAACTCTGAAAGGGTTAAAGACCAAAACACAGACAACTCCTTGACCAGACAACGGCGCCGTGGTAGTGACCTGTCAATCACAGTAAGTGCCGCCCTAACGCATCCCCTGCTTCATAGTCTGTGAAGAAGACTTGAAACTAGAGACTGAGACCATAAACTCATGTTTACAATGTTTACTGAGGGAATAAATCCAGAGAGAAGTAGAGTCATTTCCTCATTGACGTCTATGGGAGCAGAGGAGTCGCCCCCTGCTGGTCACTACAGAGAAGTAGAGTCATTTCCTCATAGACGTCTATGGGAGCAGAGGAGTCGCCCCCTGCTGGTCACTACAGAGAAGTAGAGTCATTTCCTCATAGACGTCTATGGGAGCAGAGGAGTCGCCCCCTGCTGGTCACTACAGAGAAGTAGAGTCATTTCCTCATAGACGTCTATGGGAGCAGAGGAGTCGCCCCCTGCTGGTCACTACAGAGAAGTAGAGTCATTTCCTCATAGACGTCTATGGGAGCAGAGGAGTCGCCCCCTGCTGGTCACTACAGAGAAGTAGAGTCATTTCCTCATAGACGTCTATGGGAGCAGAGGAGTCGCCCCCTGCTGGTCACTACAGAGAAGTAGAGTCATTTCCTCATAGACGTCTATGGGAGCAGAGGAGTCGCCCCCTGCTGGTCACTACAGAGAAGTAGAGTCATTTCCTCATAGACGTCTATGGGAGCAGAGGAGTCGCCCCCTGCTGGTCACTACAGAGAATGCAGCTTTAACCACATGAAGCTCTGGCTTCACTTATTCGGGGGAAGTTGCTGCCGGGTTTGAGCCCTTCTCTGAGTGATGGACCATCAGACCTTGATTGATGATCGCACCAAATGAACAGAATCTTCCGCCTCACCTCACCGAGCGGTCTGCGAGCCAGCCCGCATCGCAGCGCTCGTATCCGCTGTGGTAGGCGGCCAGGAGCTGCTCGGGGGAGGCGATCTCGGCCCCGATCCCCTCGCAGGCCTCTCTGGCTCGCTCGAAGGTGAAGCCGTAGCGGCTGGATGCATCGCGGTAATGGAACACCACCCCTGGAAAGAACAAGGAGAACACTAACATCACTCGTCTGCATGTTCTCCCCGTGTCTGCGTGCATGACTTCTAGGCTCCCTAACCTTTGACCTTGACCTGAGCCACGTCGTGGGCGTCCTCCAGGCCCTGCTGCACCTCGCAGCGGTAGAAGCCCGTGTCGTTGCGCCTCAGTCTTTCCAGCTGCAGCGTGAGGTCGGCGGGGGAGGAGACGTAGTTCAGCAGCGTCGCTCGGTCTCTGTAGGCCTCGCTGACCCTCACCCGGTCGCCGCGGGCAACCAGGATCTCCGCCTCGTTGCCGTTGATCAGAACGCTCCACTTCACCCGGGGGAGGGACAGCGCGGCGTGGCGGCCCCCGGCGGCGGAGTGGAGCGGCGGCGGGTGGGCCGGGGACACCAAGCAGGGCAGCGTGAGGGAGCCGCCCAGCACGGCGCCTACGGGCGGGGGGGCGGGGATGGTCACCTGCAGCAGCTTGGACTCGTCTGAGGAGAGGATGAGCTCTACTGAACACGGGACAGTCAGTCCAGTCACACATACAACTTATCTATTGTAAATCGCAAACCTAAAAATGAATTTAATCAAATATAGCACCAAAGCAATCTGCCACCGCATTTACATTGTTAGCTGCAGCAGTCTTAGGCCCGCCCCCTAACGCTCTGATTGGTTTACACTAACCACATGACCACATATAATAAATCTGTGAACAGAGCCTTTAAAACGTCCTCCACAGGTGGCGTGTCGGCGAAATCCCAGTGGCCGCCGTCCTCAGAGGTCGTGGATGGTCTATTGAGTGGGTGGGGGGGGCGTACCTGACTCCTGGTGGTGGCTAGATGACGAAGGCAGGCAGAGGAGACAGATGGCAGACAGCAGCACGGCCAGAGACACATCCGGTCTGCAGGCGAAGGACAAGACGATGTAAAGCCAACTCATTTGAAGAAGTTTTAAAAGGCTTTACCTCTTAAAACCCGCCCATTTTGTAGGTCTCTGCTCAGAATTTGCATACCCGTTTTTTAAAAGCGTATATCTCTGCAACCTTAAGGTCTCTTTGAATATTTTTGGTGATGTAATAGGATAGAAATAGATTTTTCTTACTGGTTAAGTCAATGAACTAACTAAAAAAGGTTCTCCACAAACAAAACACTTGGATGTTTTAAACATTTTTAAACCTCTTTCAGCCCCACAAGTGGACGTTCTCTCTGCAAAGTCTGACATTGATTAATTGAAGCAGCCATTCTATCCTCCGTGGTCACAACATCACATAGAACCGTCCCAGGATGCTCCAGTGGTTCCTATGAGCTAAAGGAGCTCAGTAAGGAAGCATTGAGGCTCCTTTCCTTAGAATTAGAGGATTGGAGAATTCAGACAGCTCGTCATGGCGCCACTTCCACTACTTCCGGGTCATTTCACTCAATTAGGAATGAAAGGAGATGAAGTGATGACGTGAAGGAGACGAAGTGGAGGTGAAGAAGATGAGAGTTTTGGAGCTCAGCAGATGGATGGATGGCGATTCAGACTTGAGGAGCTGGAGGACGTGAGCTGAATCCTGATCCCCCCTAAAAACCCTCCCCGGAGAGTCGGGACCGAAGCCCGACCTCCGGCTCCGCTCGATTCATACCATGATTACGGCTCCTTTCGGCCCCGGGGGGGTTGAGGGGTTCTATCCTGTTTCTTTTCTTTGCCCCGTTGCAATTAACAGTTTTTTGCTTTCTGCTTGTACTTTTCTCTTCTTCTCTTGAGAAAGACTTCGATACAATGAGGAAGGGTCCCAAATGTTGGCGAGAGGAGCTTGACTCAAACCCCAAGAATCTCCAGACGAAGAATCCCAGAAGTCCCAGCGGACGCTTCCTGCTCCAATACTCACCGTTACCGAGTCAGAAATCTGGTTTAAAGTTCAGGACCTTCACCGGTCCCCATAGCAACGAGGGCGGGACCTGGTCACCTGGGTCCCGGCTCACCTGGAGGAAGGCAGACTGTGAGGAGAGACTCCCTTCGCTCTGAGTGGCGGGAGCATCGGCGCCCGACATGAAGGAGGAAATCTGAGCTCGTCCTCAGCAAAGACACATTTTGATCAACGTGGGATTAGTGTCTAATCAGCGCATTTAATGGCGACAGTCGGCTCCGTCGGTCAGAGGCGCCACTCGGGATCCAGATTCATCCATGAATGTGCAAAGACAAGTGGCTGAATGTCAATGAGTTCACCTTGAGGCCAAGAGAGAGTTCCACCGCTCCGTGTGCCAGGAGGGGGGGGGGTACATTCACCCCGAGTGTTTAACGGGGGGCCGGCTGCTCCTGAAGACCATCTCAGACCAGCTGAATAAGAAGAGTTCCATCCGCTGCTCCTCTCCGATTTAAACACGACACGGGTCCATTTAACCCGTCTGCTAGCCTGTGTGCTAACTAGGCTAGCAGCGATGGAGTTTAATAAAGTTCCATTTACGCATTTAACACAGAACACGGCTCGTATTCAGGGACCCGTGTGCTCGTTGACACATTCATATGAAAGAAGGGAGGATATTTAATCAAATGGAACCACAGAGATGTTTCATACGTTGGGCAGACGCTCATGTAATATTATTAGAAATGTTCATTATTTTGAACTCTGAATTGCAGATGTAACTGGCGGATAAACCTGGAAGGATGCAACCAGGAATCTAAAGGAGTTTGACAAGTAAAGGTTTAAATACGCAAATTCCAACCGGGATTAAAGAATCAACCTCTGCTCTCAGACAAGGGATCCACATCACGCCAACGCCGCGACTTGCCAGGCCGTCTCCAGGGGCAACCGAGTGACATAACCTGACAGGAAGCAAGCCGGGGAGGGCTGGAGACCTCACAGAGGAAGAAGAAACGAGTCGGCCTGCAGCGAGCACGACTCCGAGTGCTGAACGGGTTACAGAAGTGAAACGAGCCACGAGTGAGTGTGCGTGTGCGTGTGTGTGCGTGTGTGTGTGTGTGTGTGTGTGTGTGTGTCACCTCCTGTGGAGACTTAAAGATTATTAATGAGGTTAAAGTTAAGAAAATGCCTCTGATGGTTTCTACTCATTTTCTCTCCCATTGATTGTCTCCGTTTTGTTGTTTTCAAGCTTCACGCTGCAGCCTGTGCGCACAGAAAGGTTTCTCATGTGTCCGTTATTATAAATCCTAAAGGTCGGAAATCACTGCATTCGGCAACCAAGTTATTACTCATTGCTGACTACCAAACTCGTGTAGTTTCATGAGCCACAACAGGATTCTACTATCAAATTATGATCTTTTTTTAATTGATTGTAATTTACTATTTGTTGTGTTTTTAGGCGTTTCTCTCTCCTCCACTTCCTGGGGTGAAATTACAGTCTATCTGCGAAATGACGTGTCTGTGAGCTGCCACCACACAATAAATGATAAATCCAATAATAATAAATCCAAGTGAAACTGACTATAAAAGTAAAGCCAGAAGGAAACATTGATGTCAGGAACAAAGTAACAGTAAAGAGTCGCTTTGACGTCGAGCTGCTCGAGTCTGAAATAAAGTGCGTCTACAACCTCAACGCTATAATCCCTCTCTTTATTGTACTGTCCTCATATGACACAGATATGATTACTCACTGACGTCAGAACACAAGGAGCCAATCAGAGGAGAGATCCGGGATGCCTTCATTGTTTGCTTGTTTGTAGATGTTTGTGACCCCCCAGAGAGCGACGTTCTTTCCTGTATGACGTCCTTACCTTTGAGATTCACCTTTTTGATGCAACTTTTAAGTTTAAAAAAAGATCTAAAATATAAATTGTATAGCTTTGAACACAATAATACAATTAGATACAAAACAGCACATTTGATGCTTTGAGTCTGCATTTAAATTCGAGGTGTTCCGAGTCGTGTTTTTACATTTCAGAATCACTACTTTAACTCAGATGAATAACTCGTGTGTGTGGAAACATCTGTATTTTACATCTGTCAGTCCACGCGCGCATTTCCTTTGATTTACGACACCGCGACCGGAACTCGTTAAAGGAGAAACGCGCATCCAAAGGAGCGCGTGAATGCAGCTTAACGCACTTGGGATTGGATGTGAGAAGAAGGAGAAGGAGAAGAAGGAGAAGGAGAAGGAGAAGAAGGAGAAGAAGAAGAAGGAGAACGAGGAGAAGGAGAAGGAGAGGAGAAGGAGAAGAAGGAGAAGAAGCATCGTTCATCTGTCCTGTTTCGGTGAACGCGGAGCGACGCATCGGACTCACTTCATCTTCTGCGCACAGGTGGACATCTCCGTCTTCAGAGTCCTCCTGAAGAGGACCGAACACCGGGAGGAGAGGAGAGGAAGAGAGGAGGAACCGGGGGGAGTGCGGTGTTAAGAGACCACCTCCTCTTCCTCCACCTCCTCCTCTTCCTCCTCCAGGATGGAAAACCGTAATCCTTTTCAGTGAAGGACGGAGTGGGAGGTGAACAAGAGGAGGTGCTTCTGCGGGATTTGACCTTCTTCTGTGACGAGAAGGATTTGATTCAACGAGGTGTTCTGTGACCTTCAACTGCTTGATTAAGAATATATCAAAATTAAAGCTGCACTATCGGACTTTTTATGGCCACCAGGGGGCGGAGCAGACTTCCATTACGTCATTCAGCTGACGCTTTTATCCAAAGCGACTTACAATAAGTGCATCTCGACCATAAGGACACAAACTCAGAAGAACAAGAAACAAGAAAGTGCCGATCTACAACTTGCTGTAGATAAGAGTCGTTATAAGTACAATTTAAGTTAGTTTTAGTGGAGTTTTGATTCATCTCCATCATTTGTCTGAACAAATCTCTTGATTTATTCCCTCAGTAAAGTTTATGGCCTCAATCTCTAGTGTCACGTCTTCTGTAATACAGCATGATGTTCGTTTAGTAAGTCATGGTCCATGTGGAGTCAAACAGGGCGGGGCTACACCCTGATTGACAGGTCTCTCTACTAGAGCCGAGGTCTCTATTCCTCTTAATCTCCTCGATCCATAGATCTTCACCTCCAGTTCACGGATGACAGAAAACCAGGATGTCAACGTGCAAAATGCTGAACTCAAGGCTTCGAAACCAGACGCCTTCTGTTCACAACCCACCGGTATTTCTACCACCGGCTCACCTGGAATGTACTGTGTTCCCAACTGGGACCTCAGTTGGCGTTCAGCTTGTTAGCAACTAGCCACCAGCCAAACGCACAGCAAGTGCATTGGAATTCCTTAAAATGATGTTCTGTACGTTTACCCTGAAAGCCGAGAAGTCCCGACCGACCTCCGGTAGAGGTCAACCGCCAACGTGCAAAAATGGAAAAATTCCACACGGCTTTGTGCCGTTGGCCATAAACGTGTCCGAGGCCGTGACTAACACATGAATGAAGAGGTAACCTGCAGAGTCCAGCTCCCCCTAACTTATTAACTTTACCCCCCCGGGGGGATAAAACCTCTTTCATGTATTATTAATGCAGCAGGTGAACCGTTAATCTTCTTGCAGTTCAAACGTGGAGGGTGGTATCTAAATCAATAAATACATTCAACAGGGTCTTAAATACACCAAGGGGAAGGATCAATTAGCCAAAATATATGTTTATATCGATTTTTGGTGTTGAATATGAAAGAGAACATATTGTTTTCATCAGAAGAACACACCTGCACAGACAAATCCCTCATGGAGCATCAGATTATTCACACTGTTAGCCAGAACCAAGGAGATTTAGATCAGCGGATTATCTAGACTTTAATCACATGATGCTGTGCAATATATTTCTGTCTGTAACCCAAAAGGTTGGAGGGGTCAAAGGTTACTAAAGTGAAGCATTTCCTATGACACCTAAGGCCTCAAGTGACGAGTTCTCAACAGCAACTTTCTTACGGTTCTTTAGAACTTTACTGGTTCTAAATGAGTAAAAACAGAGTATAAAGGTCCTGCTTCTGCTATCGGTCCTGTAATCACTGATTAGAGGACCAAGGAAACATGTTCAATGACATCATTAACTAGAGGAGGAAGATGAGGATGATTTTCTTCATTAATATTGGTAAAATCCTCCTGATAACCATCCCTACTGACCGACGTCCATGCAGGTTAGGGGATAATATGTCATCTTTGAAGCACTTGGTAACTGGACAGTTCCACAGATGTCGGTCAGGACTCCGGACGTGTTGCAGATATCTGCTGATAGCATCGTGAGCATTCTCTTGCTTGAAAAATAACCATTTATATTCAAATGGCTGGTTTTAAACTGAGGGACAGACTCACATTTCTTCTCGCTTCATCTAAACCTTTTTGCGTCCCCCATTGACGACCGTCGGGAGGTTCCTCTGCCATTTAAAAGGAGCTCGTCTGCTTTCAGGGCGGATGCGTGCTGCATGATTAATGAGCGGTTCACAGCCAGGAAAGGCTGCTGATCGCTCTCCTCCAGGGACAAACGCTTGGCCACAGCAAGAGGAGCGACGATATTAGCATTCTGATGTTAGCAGTTAGCTCCCAGCTTCGCTGAACCACACAGATGCGTTTTTGTTAAAGAAATAACTTTGCCCAAATCAAACAGACTTAAAGAAAAGAAAGTGAGGACCAGAAACACAGTGTGTCAGTCTGAAGTAGCAACAATACCTATGAAGTCAGGTAAACAGTCTTGTGTTGGGGGATTTGATAACACACCTTCTTGTGTAGCACCTCAGAAGAACTGTGCACCCAAGATGCTCTCGGTCACTATTTCTGTGGAGACGAGGTGGTGTGTGCGAGTGATTTATTGGGACCGGAGCACCGAGAGTCTGCAGAGGATCAAACACAGGCGCCGTCGCCTGGGAAACCGCACAAACTCACAAGAAAAGCACTTGTGTGTCTCAAAATAGCACATTTGACCTCAACGGAGTGTAAAAAGTCTCATTAGACAGATTATGGAAATCATCAGGGGCGGAGTTACAGAGGTCAATTTACCAGTGCACCTTTCTGTTATTGCCGAAATCAGCTGTTAAAATAATTACCGGGGAATCCTCCCATTCCTCAAACACACCAGACCACGTGGAAATAATGGGAATATTTAATCACGTCCTGTCCTACTTTGCTCCACGCGGCCTTCTTTATCCATCACCTCTCTATTCTCGCCTTTTTATTTACATGGGGAAAAAACATTCAGTAACATTTGTAAGTGTCTGTAAAGGATGAAAGAACAGAGACAATCTCTTATCCATAAAAGCCCAATATAGGACTGAGCATTATTTTTAAAACCTGGTTAGTTCCCTGAAGAAGATCAATGCAGCATTTTGTCTAAATGATTCACGTTGAAGGGATTAACACTATAAAAAATCTAAACTAACAAGGGAGCTTGTTCTGTGGACTTGAAGTGCTGATTTCACTGCCCCACGTTTGTTTTGGGCATTCGTGGTGTAGTTTTGTCGATGGGACTAAGACACGACTGCCCCCTCGTGTCAGGAGCACCTTTAGACACAAACCCTGAGAAAGAACTGCTGGGACTGAGTCTTCTTAGTTTCGTCCTCTTGTTGAGTGGACAGCGGAGGCTGTAGACCAGTCGGCTCCAAACCACACGCCCGCCTCACCAAAAACGTCCATTTAAAAGGTTAAAGTTTATTTGCCACTAGGAGGCCTGAGACCTGGAGGAGGCCAGGGTCCTCTCCCACTCCTCCTCCACCACTTTGTAAAGCTCCATCGTGGCTCTGGCGTCCTCCACAGAAGAGTGGCCTTTCTTTCCGGTCTGAGGACACAAGAGAAGGGGGCGGGCTTTAAACACTTGCTTGCAGGCCTTACCAATCAGAGGCAGGGGCGGGACTAAAGTGGTGGTCAGCTTGTATTGTTTACCTTCATTAAGTCCTCTTTAATAAAGGTAATTTAAATGCAAATTAGGCATTATATCATGCTAACGTTTGGAAAAAACTACCGATGCAATTAGACGAAGATGGAAAAATAATTCAATGCTTTACAAAAATCGCCCCAAATCTGCAATTTGATCAGTGCATGTACAACTTTTTAGAGACTTTGTGTTTAAGAAATTGTGTCCAATTGGATTTATCAACAACGTTCATTGTTTGGAATGTGCATTTATTGGAACCCTCGACCGCCCCCTGCGTACAGGAAGCAGACCGCTCACCTGGATGTCGCGGTTGAAGATGGCCTTGGTGAGTCTCTTCAGCGAGGCGCACTCGGTCACGGCGAAGCCGGCCCTCTGGTTGAGGAGGGGGATCCGAGACGTGTCTCTGGTCAGCGCGGCCGGGTGCGAGTAGCCGAGGACGTTGAAGTCGTTGTGGACGGCGTGGCCGATCACCACCTTCCCCATGAGCAGCCTCAGAATCTGCTGACAGAGCGGGGGGAGGGAGGGGGCGACTGAGAGACGGACGACTCTTTGAACTCAACGGGGGGGGACACTTTCAGCAAACTGAACACACAAGTTTGTTATTTTTAATCAGAGCAAATGGGGAAGAACAGGAAACAACACTAATATCCGTCGCTGTTGTTCTGTAGCTGCATTCAAAGTGTAACGTTTTGACCGAAGGGGTAAGATGCATCTCAGATATTAACATCGGCCTAAACTCGCTGGCTTTATATTTTAATCGTGGAATAAAACACAATGGCGTTCGTCCCTGCAGGACGGCGTTGAAGCAGAAAGATGTTCCTGACTTTACAAAGTTATTTTGACATTAACATGAAAACAGATATTAGCTCTTCTCTATACTGTGACAGTTTTATTGATGTTGTTTCCCTTCGGGTTGCGGAGCCATACGCCCTTTTTTTTTTTTTTTTTTTTACAAACCAGGACGATTGAGATATCCGTTATTAAAAAGGCCAAAGCAGGCGGACTTACAACAAGAATCCAGTAAGATTTCCACAAGCATTCATGTTACATTCTCCCCACATGTGTCCTGTGATCTTATCTTTCTGCACATTTTCTTCCCATCGCAGGCGACAGAGGTAACAATCGAGACGTTTCCTCACCTCCTTCCGGGCCTCTAAGTACGGCGCAGCGTTGACGAGGTCGCTGCGCCGGATGCCGCTCCAGCGGGTGCGGTAGTCAGTGACGGGCACGGGGGGGTTGATGAACTTATCGTAGACCACGTCTCCGTCGTAGGACACCAGGCTGCAGCGGGCCAGCTTGCTGATGCTCCCCTTTGGCCCCGTGCCCACCATCTCACAGTCCAGAGCCAGGTACTTGGCGGGGATTCCCGTCGACGTCTGCGCGGCGGCCCTGTGGCTGCCCGCTGGCGAGGGACGGTGGGCAGCGGCGCTCGCCGGTCTCCCCGCCGGCTCGCTCGGCTTCCCGCCGCAGCCTCTGCTGCTGGTCATCAGAGGTGGCGACTGACGTGCAGACGATGAAGCGCTGTGGCTGACGCGCGGAGCGCCGGCCCCACGGGCCGCCCCGCTGGGTGAACTCACCAGCTGCGCAAAGGCGCCATTTTGGCGCGGAGGAGCATAGTGTTCGGGCCGCGCGCCTCTGCCTCTGGCGTGCCCCAGGAAGCTCATTTGATGCGTCCTGTTGGGAACCCGTTTGTGACCCCCTCGGTATCCTCGCGGCGGCCTCCTCCGTGCGGCTCCACCAGCACAGCTCAGGTTGAGCGTGATGTCGGACATTATGGCGCTGCGGAGGTCAGGTCAAATGTTTCCTCTGAGCAGGCCGGTAGGTTTGCTGACGCCGACTTCCTCAAGCGATCTTCACCCTTTGCGGTCCCTTTTGAAACAGCCGACCCCGGTTTAAAAGTTCCGTCCTGCAAGAAACAAAAGTACCAGAACTGAATGTCTCGCTTTTATTGTGTAACTTGCATCTACAGACTGAAAAGCAAGAACTCAAGAGAGCGCCATTGTGTTTTATTCCCTTCAACGCATCACCGTATCTTAGTTTTTAGGATACAGGCATTTTGACATTGATGTAATGAAATGATCTTGTTACGTAAGACAGAGTTATTTTCTACTACAAGAGGGTTCTCATTGACCAAAATGTGTTCAAATACTATTACTTAAGTAATAATAACTCTACTACACTAGTTATTATAGCTAAATTACTCTAGGGGGTAACTTAAAAGTATGAAAAGTAAGTAAGTAATGAAGTAAGCCTTCATTTAATCATTGAATGGTCCTCAACAGGCCGGTTCGACCCTGTGGTACATTTTTGTAAACTTGCATCATATGGAGTGTAAACATGAGGAATGTAAACAGCAACGACGACAAAAACAAAACATGGCCGACATCTTCAAGTCAGTCAAATGTTCTCTTTCGTGTTTAGTTTTCCTTTTCTGTGAGTTTTTTTTACACTTTTAACAGCTTAAAACTGTCTGTGACAAGCAGGTTTACAACAGCAGAAAATCAAACTCAAAACAGTTAACTTACTTTATATTTGAATTGAAAAAACGTTCCATATTACTTTGCAAGGGATTTACAAGCTATTGACACTATAACTAATGTATTGAATAAGCTTGTAATATAAATAATAAATGCTAATTAGTTCCGACTAATCAGCCATTAGCGGATGTTGACGTTAGCCACTAGCTAATGTTAGCTTGCTAAGTGCTACCTGCCGAGACTATGCCAACTCCGCGGTTAATTTGTTGTCTCTCAACGGAAAAAATCGGATTAGTGTGTTTGTGAACATACGTAGCTTAGGACCGATAGTTTTCCTTATTAGAAAAATGTCTCAAAATAACTTTATGGAAAGAAATCCAGACCTGCAGCACACATTGTGGACCTCGCGCCTCTTCCTGCTCAACAGTCTACTTCCGGGTTGTGCTGCGTTCGTGAACAGCCCATAAATACTTTTTGTTTTTTTTTAATATGTCCGCGGTTAACTTTTCATCGCATTTACGCTTATAAGGTGACTCTTTAGTTCTACTAATAGAATATTTCGATTACTAATAACACTCAAAACACAATTAATGTCACGATATGAAAAATAAAACAATGTGTGCACCATTTCTCAATATACTGAATTAATAGAAATAAGAAGATAATTTGAACGCTGAAAACACTGTTAATATGCAAGTTTTTATTGAAAATAGCATAGAGCTCCACCATAGAAACTCGACTTTAGCTAGGCTAATTGTAAACGTAATGTTACATATTTTGTAACGTAACGTTACGACTTTCCAGCTCCTCTGCGGAGTTTTCTGGAAGCACCTGAACGCATTCTACGCGTGAACGCTACAATTAGCGTTAACGTTAGCTAGCTAGTGGCCAACCACACCAAACCTTTGTGAAAATTAAAAGCACGGAATTCCCATTATTAATATCGATGCTAATTTCAGTTTAAGGGAGGTCGTTTGTCTGGACGGACCTCGTCTTAACCAGGGAACTAATGCAGTGTTAACCAGCAAGCGTGATATTAGTTTGCCTTAAAGACCTGTCGGTTAGCTTAGCGAGCTACTTTAGCTAACCAGCAGCCCCGGTGATGTTTCCAGCAGAGCAGCAGCGAGAGCTGGCAGAAAGACTCACCGCGTTCCTGTCTCAGTACAGCCGCCTGTCCGACTCTTATATAATTGTGCGTATCGAAGTTTGCATCAGTTTGCGGTTGTTCCAGATTAAACTCCCCATGAGATTTGAGAGAATACTTGTTTTTAAAGAACTCAAGTTTCCATGACAACACAATGTTATTGCATCCTGGATTGTGTAACTATATTAGAGTTAGTAGCTAGGTGGGGTGTCCAAAAAGCATGGCACTTTGTGTCACTAATTACATTGTTTCAATTAAAAATAAATGTATCGATTTGAAAAAACCCGTATCTCCAGATGTGTTGATGATGTGTGTGTGTGACAAACTGAAGGTGCGCTTCCCTTTTTGCATTGAGATAACCCTCGGTCTTCAGCCCATTGAACTCTTTAAAAAACCTCAGAATTAATTCATGTAATTTGTTTGAAGAACTAACAGTTCTATCCACATCTCCCAAATATGAATAACTCTCCCATCATGTATTTGCCCTCAGGAGTTCTTCTCCAAAGATCACTGGCACAAGTTGCCCAACTCGTGGCAGCCGGCGCTGCAGGATCTGACGTATCATCAGGTTGCAGACCTGCTCCTGGATGCTGCACACAGAGACAGAAGGTACTGCTGGGTCGTAACGGGGCCCTGTGCACAGTCTTTATTTCAAAGAGCAGTCGAGTCAGCCGTATATACACACACTCACTTCATATTGTATTTGTACGTCATGCAGGTACCCCTCGGCGTGGCCTCTGTCCCTGCTGGCGTTCCGGGCCGCCGCTCACGCGCTGGCGTTTCCCAGAGGTCACCGGCCGGAGCGCGGCGGCGCGGCGAAGCCCGAGGAGTTCCTGGAGAACCAAAGTCAGAGCGCACTGCTGGGACACATATTCAGGAAACACGTCAAGCCCAAGAAGCAGCACGAGATCCGCCGACTGGGCTCGGTACGGGTTCACGTGCTTCTTTGCTGCTGTCACTTTTTTAAAGTTTATATTTAATTGTTTCTCTTTGTTTATTTATTCATTTAAATCCCAGCTGGTAAAACAGATTTGTGACCAGACTGACTGCAACAGCGTGGTGGATGTGGGCTCTGGACAGGTACCATTCTATTTCCCCCACATCATTTGTCTTTTGTCAAACACACAAATAAGCTGGTTGGTATCCTAAAACTGTTGTCTTCGTTAAACAAAAAAGGAGGAAGAATTGCATTTGTTGGGGACAAAATAAACTAGTATGGAGTTTATGGCGTGAGGAGGAGAAGAGATGTCAACACCTGCTGCTGCAGGTCACGTGATCCTCTTCAGGTCACATGATTAACACTTAAAATCATCGCACAGTAAACCTTCCCTTCCACACAGGGCCATCTGACTCGCTTCCTGTCCTTCGGGCTCGGCCTCTCTGTCACCGCCATCGAAGCTGATCGCACCCTGGTTGCCACGGCGACCAAGTTTGACAGAGAGTTAGTGGCGGCCCTGCAGAAGGAAAAGCAGAAAAGGGTCAGTACTTTTTTTAACTTATGAAAAAGGTTGTTTTATGAAGAGCAAAGTTATTGTGAGGAACCTCTACGTCAGGAGACACTACCACTTTAGTCCACAGGGGGCGCCACACCACCACTAAATATCAA